CGGAACCTACGGCCGTCCGGTCCGGTAGGCGTTCCGCAGACGGAGAAGGTACCGCCGTCGAAGATCGTGGTCCGTAGGTAAATTCCTACCGATAGGTCGTCTACACGTTTCGACATTACAACTCCTGAGAATGACGTTGTAACGTCGAAACATGTAGAGTCGTCAACTTTTTGAAGGCCATAGATAGGCCTAAATAAAATGTTTTTAATTGTGTACCATTTTAACGTTGAATATTATTTGTGATTTTTGGTATCATGTATTTGATGTCAAAGTTATCAACTATTCATTTACCCTACATTACTGATTTAGTAACAGTTCATGTTATAGGAGAGTAAGTACAGGATACAGGGTGTAGGGACATTGAAAAACTGTAGATGTGTATTGTGGATGTTCTATACATTATGCAAACTATACAACAGACAAACATATCTTTATTTTTCGCAGGAACATCACCTTGCACTCCAACTTCTCAAAGTCTAAGTCGGACTGACATCATTAATTCAAAGACAAATTTTGAGTACAAATAATTTGTAACAAATCTGATTTTTGTGTACAGTGAACTTGTACATATTACTGAAAGATTGTCAAATTTTGGGTGGTTACACATAGTAAATTCTGAATTATAGTCAATATTCTTTCTCCAGTATGAGGTCAGTTCAAAGGACTGAGCCCATGCACAGTGAGTTAACATTACATACAGACAAAAAAAGGGCCATTTAATTTGAGCCCTTTACAACTGCCCCAGCATTTTTTCTCCAGAAAATAACATTCTTCTCTAAGCATATATAATATAATTAAGTAGACTTAAGAAAAACAAAACATTACATTTTGAAAAAAATACTTAAGTAATAATATTATAAAAGTAAGTAACCAATTTATACATAATTTTCTGAAATAGGTATAAAGTTGGAACTACCTTTCCTATTTTTTTGTTCTTGATTTTGTGTACATTTTAGTTACAGTTCACTTTTCCTTGGCTCTACCACTACAATTACCACAGTACAGTTGGGCTAGCCTTTTATTATTAATAGTAATACTAGTAGCAGTAGCAGTAATAGAACTAGAATTAACTTTTCCTTTTCTTTCTGCTGATACTGATAGTATTATTATTATTACATAATGTTAACACTGTGTAATGAATCGTATATTGTAATATAACCACGTTATCAATGTAAGTTGTAACTAATCAATCAGCCACTACTATTCCAAAGTCCAAGAAATTAATTTTAGTTTAAATAATGCCTGGCTAGGACTTTGTAATATCTTAACCTCCATAAATAAACTGAAAGAAAATTTTTTCTTCTTCTTACTAATACTATCGGTATTATCACATATAAAAAATAAACAAACCAGAAGATGATAAACCTAATTCGCAAGATTGTTCATAATAACTACTGTATATTAAATAAACACTCTCCCAATAAATATCGTTCAATTTCAAATAAACATTATTTGATTAAAAGTTTATTTCCAGTAACTTATTTTAACAACCAAATATTTTATGTATCAGCTTCCCAACTTTCAACAGTCTAACTGACCTCAAATATTCAGGTTTTCATTTCTTCGCCATACCACAATATATGTTACTTATCACGATTAAATATACTTTATACATAATCTTTTACGTCAAACATGAACGTAAATTCGTGCCTCGTGTTGGCGTCTTGATAATAGTAATAAAAAAACACTCGCTTAATAATTAATAGTATTACAGATTTTTTTTTTTTATGTTTTGAATTTCACACAAAGCCACATTTAGTTTTATGATGACTAAATATAAAATTTTACATCAGCCGCATGATGACCATAAGTTTGGTTTGAATTTCGGGCAAAGCTTCACGAGGACTATCTCTAATTTAACAGTGACAGACTAGAGGAGAGGCCGATAGTCAACACCGTCCACAGCCAACTCTTGGGCTACTCTTTTCCAACGAATAGTGGAATTCACTAAAACTATATAACGTTACCTCAGCTGAAAGGGTAAGTATGCGACCAATCGGATTGAGAGTCGAACACCCTAACCGTCAGGCCATGACGGGTCACTTTAGAAGGAAAAAATACAATAATGATGAACAAAATTATAATAAAAAAATAGATACCGCACAACTGTATGATTTAGAAGAGTAAGTAGGTCTATGATGACTTGTTACATTAAATGTTATAGTACGCATACACATTTCTATATTTCTAGCTTCTGTTTAAACGCTAAAAGTCGTAACTTTTAAAGTACTATATACTGTTTCAGATTGTCCAGCTTAACTTGTGAGTTCTGGTACTGAATGAAAATGCCTCTTGGGCATAACTTGTGGGGAAAAAAATGTCTGAAATACTACTTTTACACGTCTCCTATTTTGAATCCGAAATGGAAAAATTAAGAAAAACGTTGGGGAAAAATCTGTATTTTAATGATTTTTATCAGAAACTTTAGAAATATTTCTTTTTAGTTACAGTGCAGAACATTAGTAGATGTCGTAACGAGTAAAAACAGAAAATGAAAATTCTTACAACAATGGGTTTCACCGCCTTCAAATATGTCATTCAGATAAATTTATTCGAGCTAGGTTTTGAAGCGCTTCATAAGTCCTCATCGGGCTTTAAAAACAAATATGTCCTAGAATAGTAAATTTAAAAATCAGTGGCTTGTGTCGTACACTAAAAAAGTCATAAAACATCACATAGTATAGAACGCGACAAACAAATAAAATACTTAACATGTATAAAATCCAGTGTATGTCACGCTTGATTTCTCGAAACAGGTTTGTTTGTAATTAATCACAAAGTTACACAATGCGCTATCTGTGCTCTGCCCACCACGGGTATCGAAACCCGGATTCTAGCGTTGTAAGTCCGCAGACATACCGCTGTGCTACTGGGGGGCCTCGAAATAGGAGAAGTCACAAAAGCCAAAGACAGAATAGTTCGATTACTGTCTACCCATTACAAGTTTAGTGACTGTGGTGAAAGGGTGGTGGTGCCGTGAACCTTATAGATGTAATGTTGGTATAATTAACCTAAAGTAAAGATGTAGTGTAAGATCACCTAGGCTTGAGCCAAGTGCATAAAATTTATCATGAACGTAAAAATGTCAATTCAATTTTAAACTTAAATCGTTTTTGAATTACGCTTTAAAAATAAACCGCTTTATTCAATGGAAACTTTAAATTAGGAAATCAATAAATATTTTTTTCCAGTTCTTTTGACTATACATTGCATTTTATACTTTCAGTACATAGACTAACAACAATATTAGGTTGTCCTTTTGCAATGAGCAACATTACATAAAAGCCATTGTTGGAACATTGTGTTACCAAAAGGCACTGGCTTTTCTATATATATTAGAAGTTGTTAATCTAACTGATTTTGACCAATAGTTATTCTATGAATAAGCCACGAATTCACTATATGAATGATGTTAATATTGATTGGCTCACAAAGGAATATACCGATGTTTGATTGGATCGACAGCACTTTTCTGCATCTTTGTTGGATTTCCGCGCTGTTCTTCGAAAAAGGAAGAGATGTGTGCCTGCTCTCTCCAAATAATATTAGCTCGTTCCCTTCACGCTATCCTAAATCGGGCCTAACCTTAATTTAAAAAGTAATATCAACGGACAACTAGAGTTAGGTAACCAATCGGCATACTTAACAACGGCCGAGACCGGCAACCAACTAGGTAAAAAGAAGTCACCTAAGGAACAATTCACATTCTCGTACCAGGCTCTCGTCGTAAATCACAAATAAACAACAAGCCTCAACGGAGTTAACACTTCGGTCGTCGGGCGTGCCACGACTTCCATCATGAAAGAGAAGGCTACGGTCTCTGGGTCTTCAAGCAATGTAAACATGCCATCGGCCTCTTCCTCCTTAGGTGAGTCTTGTGCAGGTGGCAGTAATATTAAGAACTTGGCTGCTAATCTTGAGTTAGAAAGCCTAATTTCATGTGCTAAAATTCAACTTGGTAAAGTAACTAAAAGAAAAAGGGCTAGGCGATCTGCAGATAGCTAAAGTTCCAACAAAACAATAATAAGTGATGAAGAATTATACACAGAATCTAAAGAAAAATCTAATGATAAAGTAAATGAAACCACCGTGGATAAAAACACAAAACTACAGGGTGAAGAAGCTTCATCACTGTTCAAAAGAAAACAAAAAAGAACAAAGCACAGACAATATACAAAACAAACGGGAATCTCTCAAACACACAATCATAATAGAAGGGATACCAGGCTCTTATAAAGAACCACAATTAACAACCGAAATACGCAAACGCAAACCGCAACTGAACATAACAACAATTAAACATTTAGCTAAAGGCGGAGTCCTCATCAAAGGGGCCGAAACCAAAATTCACTTACCGGATATGAAACCAAATACACAACATTCATAATCAGATTAATACACTACACAATCAACACGGAAGAAATTAAAGAACTTATACGTACAAAAAATTGAACGGATAATTTCCAGCAGAACCCAACAACCAACAAACATTATAAAAGTATCGTTACACCTCTGGTCGTTTGTTAATTACCCGTACAAATTCTTTCGGAAGAACTTCAGCGATACAAGTTCTTTCTTAAATAAAACTAGTTTATTCTTTCTCAATACAACTTTGCAATACACTTAATTTCCACAGTCACGTTAACTTAAACACACGCTATAATTCACAATGATTTACACACTTTACTTACGGCTTGACTCGACTATCTGTCTCTATCTCCCTGTCTGCTATTGAATTAACTCTACCATCACTTCTCGCCGGTCTTATATATACAAAATAGAGGGCTTCTGGCAAACACCCGAGCCTTCAGGAACGTTCGAGATACTCATTACGTGTTACCAGCGTCACGTGACTTCTGCTGTCGTAACAGTATACAGGGACAAAACAACAAATGACATCATGAGCCTGATAACAAATGGTATCAGGCTCTGGTATCAAAAGTTTGAAGTAGAAGAAACAAAATCACTGGCTGTGGTTATTACGCAATGTTTTAATTGTCAACGCTATAGTCGTGTAGCCGTAGCATGCAAGTCTGTACCACAAGATAACTGGGACAGTTACTGTTCCAAGCTAAATAATTACACAGATTCTAAGAAATTTTGGACACACTGAAAAGATTCACAGACAATCTAAACACTCACAAACATCCTACCTTACACCACAATAACAATATAGCCTTCACAAATAAACAAAAAGCAGAAGCTTTTAAAGAACAATTAAACAAAACATTTAAAACGCACGAACAACCATATATGGATAAACACTTTTATAATACAGAAAATGAATATATTCAAAGAAATCAAGACTTACACACACCAAAATTTCCAATCACAACAATAATCCCCAAAACAACAACCACGATCCAGCACAAAAAAATCATAAATACAATAACCAAACCCAAAGTTATATTATCCATAAAACAAACAAAAAAACAAAGCACCAGGAGAAAACCACATGCAAACTATATTATTCAAGAAAGATACTCCGAAACTGTTTGATCACCTAATTTAATTATTTAATTTATCCCTAAATTCGTGATACATTCCCGCCTCTTGGAAGCAAGCAAATGTATTTATGTTCTTGAAGGAAGGAAAACCAGCGAAAAAGCGGAAAATTATAGACCGATCAGTTTAACTAGTTGTTTAGGCAACATTCTAGAGCGAACAATTAGCAACAGGATCTCAAATTTTCTGGAGATCACATCAGAATTACCTGAAGTTCAAAATGGGTTTCAGAAAATTCCGGCAAACAACTGACTATGTATTTAGGCTAACTGAAACGGTAATATATAGCTTTAACCAAAAGACATGCATTGTCGCTTGCTTTCTCTATATCGAGAAAATATTCGACATTGTATGGCATAACGGATTAAGATTCAAATTAAAATATATTGCCACGACAGCGGAAGTCACGTGACGATGGTAACACGTGATGAGTTTCTAGAAGATTCATGAAGAGACGAGATGTACGCTTTTATAATATATAAGACC